ACACACACACACACATGTTCACACACACATGTGCATGCACACACATACATGTGCGCAAACTCTGTTTTTCCCATCGTGGCCCGTCTTGTCTCCATGCACACCCTCTCCCTGTGTCACCTCTGAGAGGAGGGAGCTATCGCCCCTGGTCCCCTCACCTGGTCTGAGGGAAGGCATGGCCTCCAGACCCTGAGGGCTCTTGAGGGACCTGCACCACAAAGCGCCCCTGCCCCTGGCCCATCTGGTAAGATCCCAGGACGGGCTGTGTCTTCCAGGATGTTTGTCTCTGAGCGGCCCCAGGCGAGTGACGGGCATTGTGGGTGGATCGCTGAGCGTGCAGTGTCGGTAGGAGAAGAAGTACACAGACCATAACAAATACTGGTGCAAAAGCCCATGTTTGGCATCGCTGAGGACGAAGATTGTGGAGACCACAAAGTCAGAGAGAGAAGTGAGGAGCGGCCGTGTGTCCATCAGGGACCATCCTGCAACCCTCACCTTCACAGTGACCTTGGAGAGCCTCACAGAGGGCGATGAAGGCACATACAGGTGTGGGATCCATAGACCATGGACAGAAGGACTGATAGACCTCACCTTCCTGGTTGAGGTGTCTGTGTCCCCGGGTGAGTCACACACACCCTCCCCTCGCCCCAGCTCCAGGCTGCCTGATCTACCTGGTCAGCCGCTGGTCAGGACAGACATGGAATTGAAGAGCTGGGTGAAGTGGGGGTCAGTGATCAGGACACAGCGTGTGTGGGTGTTATCTGGGCACAGGTGTGTCCTCCACACACACACGCACGCACGCACGTATGCACGCAGTCTGTTCCTGACCCCTTCGGAGCCCAGGCCCTGACTGAGTCTCAGGCCTGGATGGCTCCTGAGGCATCACCCTCACAGCCGTGGTCCTGGGGGCCTGCAGCTGCCATGAGACAGGCCCAGAGGAGCCCCAGGTCCCTGTGTGGGGCCCCTGTGATGTTCTGGGGCCTCCCTTCCCTTCAGGCTGACCCTGTCCCTCCCCGTTTTTCTCTGATGCCTTGTAGCCAGAGGGGGGAACCCAGAGGAGCCCCTGAAAAAACCTCCCTCAGGTAGGAGAGGAAAGGTGATCATGGCCTCTCAAGTGCTATGGCCCCGGCTTCTCCCCTGCTCTCTGCACAATTCTCTGCACAGGTCGCTGTGCTTGTTGCCTGAGAGCGCAGTGAACATCACCTTCCTGCTGACGGTGGCTCTGGCTCCTCACTTCCTCCTTGTAGTTCTGGGTTTCTCCCTCTCACATGGGATGTTCCCTCACTGGCCTTTGTGTCTTGCTATTTAAGAGGGAGAAACTGGAAACCCCAGAACCTCTGGCTGAGGGAAGAGGAGGGGTTTGTCCCCGTGCCTTTGTGTCAGGCCATGTTCTATGGGGTCCACCTGGTGTGTGTCTCTCTAGATCAGGGGTGGGGAACGTCCGGCCCGAGGGCTGTATAAGGCCCAGGAAATCATTGGGTCTGGCCCTGCCAAGGCATTAGGGGTGAGTGAATGAAACGCTTGGCCAAACAGAACAGGCTAATGTTTAAGTTGATGATTTTGTGGGCCTTCGAATGATATTATATATATCCAAATTGTCCATGGCAGGAAAAGGTCACCACCCCTGCTCTAGATCTTTCTTTCTGCTCATTTGTTCCCCCACTCTCATGTGGGAGATTCCCTCTCTGGCCTTTGTGTCTTGGTGTTTAAGAGGGAGAAACTGGAAACCCCAGAACCTCTGGCTGAGGGGAGGGGGAGGGGCTTGTCCCTGCGCCTTCGGGTCCGGCCATGTACTATGCCAGTGGTACTCAACCTGTGGGTCGCGACCCCTTTGGGGTCGAATGACCCTTTCACAGGGGTCGCCTAAGATGATCTGAAAACACATATATAATTACATATTGTTTTTGTGATGAATCACTATGCTTTAATTATGTTCAATTTGTAACAATGAAATTGGGGGTCACCACACACGAGGAGCTGTATTAAAGGGTCGCGGCATTAGGAAGGTTGAGAACCACTGTTCTATGGGGTCTACCTGGTGTGTGTCTCTCTAGATCAGGGGTGGGGAACATCTGGCCTGAGGGCCATATAAGGCCCATGAAATCATTGGGCCTGGCCCTGCCAAGGCATTAGGGGTGAGTGAATGAAACGCTTGGCCAAACAGAACAGGCTAATGTTTAAGTTGATGATTTTGTGTGGCCTTCGAATGATGTTATAAATCTCCAAATGGCCCTTGTCTGCTCCAGGGCTTTCTTTCTGCTCATTTCTTCTTCCAGAGAGGACTGCCCCATGGGCCAAAGGCCTGGCTGACAGTGTGGAGGCTGGTAGCTTAGAAACAGTTGGAAGCCCGAGATCAGGAGGCCAGCAGGTGGGCGAGGCCCTCCTCCGGGTGAGGGACTTTTGTTGTATCCTCGGGGGTGAGGGACCTCCCTCATCGGGGCACTAATCCCATGGATGAGGGCTCCACCCTCATTGACCTGACCACCTTCAAATGCCTGGCCACCTAACACCACCCACTGGGCATGGGGCTTTCAACAAAAGAATTTTGGAGACACGAGCATTCAGACCAAGGAGTGTCTAAGGGACTGCAGGGTCCCGCCATCCAGTGCAGACTCCAAGGCACATCTATTTCCTGGTCTCACTCGAGCCATCAGCCACGCCTGAGGGCCCTGGCCACCCATCACTCTAGTCAGAGCTACAGAATAAGTGTCAGCCCGCCCCCTGCTGGTGGGACAAGGGGGAGAAGGGGTGGCTGTGGTGGGGGTGTGGCCGGAGCCAGGTGCTCTTCCCACGCACTCTCAGATCCTCTGCTGAGCAAGACAATTCTGCATCTCTACATGCCCACCATGCCACGGAGTTCCTGGAGAGGGGCCGGGGGAGGGAGCCCAGGTCTGGCCTGCCTGTGGCCATGGAGGGGATGGCCTGAGTGACCTTGACCTTGTGTCAGAGCCACACAGCTGACAGAGTGGAAGACCGGGGCCTGACATGTGCTTCTCCCTCAGCCCCCAACCTGAAGATCGTCACAAGCACCCTGGGCCCTCCCTCCTCCCTGCCAGTGACCACTGGGACCTGCATGATCAGCCAGGAGACGCCTGATGCATCACACACTTATACACACACACACACACACACACACACACACACGTGCACACACTCCTGTTTTCCCATCGTGGCCCTTCTTGTCTCCATGGACACCCTCTCCCTGTGTCACCACTGAGAGGAGGGAGCTATCACCCCTGGTCCCCTCACCTGGTCTGAGGAAAGGCATGGCCTCCAGATCCTGAGGGCTCTTGAGGGACCTGCACCCCAAGG